TGTATGCATGCTGGCTGCACTTGTTGCTCACCCCAGTTTTAATTTTGACCCTTGAGTAAATATTGTAATAGCTTTTCAACATCTGTGCCGTTCCTTAAAATAAAAATACATATAAGTAGGTTTGTGGTATAAAAGGTTGTAATAAATCCCATTATAGAATTTCAAGAGATTATTTGAGGCTTCTTACTAAATAGCATTGCTGGAACATTTTAAAATGTAAAGAACAATCATGTTTGTGGGTGTATTTGCATAAAATATCAAAGGGGGAAGAGAATAAATGTGTCTTTTAGTATAATCAATGCTTTATATTTTCCTTATTTTCTATTTGATTTACTACTATCATTGATTGAGAAATAGATTTTAGAAGTATATTACTTCCTGAATATTATGCTTTTTGTTGGGAGGACACTTTGCAAAAGCCTCACTGATGACAATCGTGCTGGGAAAACATGAAAAATATTCATTAGCAATTCTGGAATATGTTAGAGGAAAACATATTGTTGCTTTCCTTTTCTATGTGACATATCATTGTGCTGTAAGGAGGAATTATAAAGTATATGTTATATTTATTGTACACTCTTGTGACATAAGAAAGGTAGCTCACTTTCAAATAAAGCTCACTTCTGCAATTTTTCTTAATTTAACAAAAGCCTAAATTTAAAAACAAATTCCAGGTGAACCTCAGATTAACTTAATAAAAGTATGAGGCTGCTTTTTATAGTTAAGTGTATAGTTTTGTATACTATCCAGATGTATGAGAGAGGTAAATAATCTTGACTCATGCTCTGTGAAGAATGCATAACGAGGTCTTGATAGAATCAAATTCATTTTAGACAGGAATTAATTTTTATAGGGTAGTCTTTGGTTCAATTGTAATTCCATTTGAGTCTGGAGAGCATAGCAGAAATGGGTTGTTACCCATTTTTTCCTTTCTCCAAAACAGCTTCCAAAGTACTGCATCTCAGCTTGGTAGAAGGAGAATACGTTTAGAAATGCATTGTTGTTTTTATTGGTCAGGACACTAATGGAGATCTTCCATGACAGCTATGTTTTATAAGCTGAATACTCTAATTAGGCTGGATACTGATCAGTTGTTGGGATATTGATTGTGTCATTTATCAAAGAGCTGGAAAAGCAGATGTGTTGTTGCTGTTAATTTAAGGCTCCCTATCCCACTGGGTACAAGTCTCCAATGTAGTAGTAGTTTGGATGTTGCAAGGCTTAATTCAGCTAGCAGTATCCATGAAAAAGTAGTAAATGTGGACCTTGCGATGTAAGGAATCTTATGTGAAGTAAAGAATTTCCAGTAATGAGAAGAGACATAGTTGTTAGTGGCTGTGTGGTGTGTGTGTTGCTGTACGTAGATACAAAATAGCCTTTTCGTATGGCTCATGCTGCACTGAGGAGAGAATGTTGGATGTGTTGCCTGTCCACTGAGACTACATTTGTAGCCATATTGTCACTATGAGTATCCCAGCAGTGATTTGTGTTCTGAGGTGCATTTTTTGCCATTTTATTATTTTAATTGTCATTATTATATAATTGTTTATTATATTTTAATTATTCATTATTTTGTTATTAATAGTAGTAATAATAATAATAATCTTGAAAGGCAGGTTTCAAGCTGATGTAACACACTGTCCTTTCTTATGCATTGGTTTGCAGGCAATTACTTGCCAATGCATTAAACCTCTTGCATCATTTTACAACGAAATTATATGGGTTAGATACATGCATTTCTTCTGTAGATGTGACTATGAAATTTAAGGAAAGATATATTTAGTGTAACATTTGCTGGCGTGATGAACATGCATTTTAAAAATAGAAGCCAGTTGGAGGCCTCTTCAAAAAATAGATATAAAATCACAGAAATTATAAAGGTTAGTTTAAAAACTAGCCATAATATTCCCCTGTGTGGGTTTTCTGTTTTCCATGAATAATGAGTACAGAAATGTCTTTCTGAGTCTGTCCCAGTTTTAGAAACAGTGATTTTTTTTTTTCCTCCTTTTTTCTTTTGAGCAACTGCTGGAGAATAAATTAGGCGATATGGCATGTGTGGCAGGGGGCGGAGGGAGGAATGTCTCAAAAGAAGAGCTGACTAGAGGTGTGACAGGAGTTTGTTTAGCTGCTAGCCAGAAGACCTGCATTTGGGAGTTTGCTGTAACTCCTTACTTGCAAAACTGCGTTAGTGTGTGATCATCAGAACATATGCACTCAGTCTCTGAGAGAAGGGAACCAGCTGGCTGGCAGAAAAATACCATTGGCATTGCCCATGTTCATGTGTTGACAATGTCACAAGCTGCCCTCCCAGATGGAGAATTTGAATGAAGCCAGTTGTGGGTCATAAAAAAAGTCTTCATTTTTGTGCATCATTCTTAATGATTGTTATTGCTTAGATATTATTTTATTGTCAGCAAAACCAGATAGTAATTTTGAAGATAGCTTTCAGGTTTCTCATTTGAAAGGAAGCAATGTATGGTGAATGTTACATTACACTGTATTTTTGTGCACTGTCTGTAGTGATGGCTAATCTTCTGCATTGTTGAACATTTAATTTTTTTGTTACAATGTGTGGTTCTGTTTTTCCCTTAGGAACGCTCAGACCAGGGAGTCTTTCAAAAATCAGCCTTTGATGGGAGTCATAACTTCGCAGCTGCTTCCCGACGCAGTGATGCTATTCTTCAGCATTGTGTAACATGCAGTCCTCAGGAAAGAATAAAAGGTAGTCTCTAGATTTCAGCACATCCTCCTCTGTGCTGAAAGAAAGTGCGTTGTGGTTTTGTTTTTGAAATCCATAGCCACTAGAAAAGCAGTTAATTAGAGTAAATGCACACTATGTTACTTTGAGGCTTGAAGATCCAGCGAGGGTGGGAGAGCTGACTCAGAAGTTGTGAATTAGATTCCTGGCACAAATTCCAGTTTAAGTAACAGTTTCTAGCTCGCTGCCCCAACACGTAAGGTTGGATAAGAAACAAATGATGAGTGCAAAATATATGTTGTCAAAATGTTTATTTTCTATATATCTTTAATGAGTGCAACGATTTTTGCATTGAATTCTTAGATTATGTCCCAGGTTATTATAAGCTAAATGAATTTATACAAAAGCATGTTATTCATAAATTACACTTGCTTAATTTAGACTTCAAGGTAAAATTCGTTCAAAGGCTAGAAACATTCCCTTAATTTACAAATTGGAATTACATTAATGAACTCATTAAAAAAATTATATAGACATGTAGATTGTATAAAGAAAACCTAAATGTATGAGCATATGGAAGCATGTAAGTAAGAGCTTGTAAGACCACTATTTTCCTGTCGTCTTTCATTTCTGATGGCATACTATACTGTCAGTCCAATTTGTACCTGACTCAGCAAAATATTAGCTATTTGAAAAGTTTAAGTATTTGAGAAGGTCTTGACCCCTGTCCTTTTAAGTGTTGTCTTATCCTTCAAGCCAAGCACATACTTAAATGCCTTCCAGTAGGAAAAAAATATTTTCTTTGATAGAGTTGCATTATGCATGATTTTTCTCACTTCCCTAC